ATCTGTGTATAGGTGGTAACTGTACACAGAAGCCACAGGAGAGTTAAGAGTGCCTCGAAAGAAAACAGAGGAGACAGGTTCTTTAATTTGAGGTAAATGTCACAACAGAAAAGTCATCATTTTAATGTATAATTCAGTAACTTCAATACAATGTTTGCGACCATCACTACTATCTAAATCTGAAAATTTTCAATAACAAAAGAACACTTATACCCATTAAGTAATAATTCTATCTTACCACTCCCTAGCCCCTGACAAGTACTAATTTGCTTTCTTTATCAGTGGGTTTGCCTAATCTAGACATTCACATAGTGGATTAACACTCATGTAGCTTTTTATATCTGCTTGATTTTACTTAGCTTGTTTTTCAAAGTCTACCCAGGTTACACCATCTATCATATGCCATCCTACTTATGGCTGAATATTATTTTATTATGTGGTTCATATACTAGTTTTCTATTCATCTGTAAATGGATAGATGGGTTATTTCCACTTTTTGGTTATTGTTTGATTATAACCATTCATGTACAAGTTTTTGTTTGAATGCCTATTTTCAAGTTTTCTTGAGCATATATTTACAATTGTTGATTTCTGTAACTGACTGGTTTCCATTGTTCAATATACTTGATTCTGGTGGTCTTTGCCCATTTATTTGTCTTTTATATGGAGGGACAGGCCCTTGGAGTTCCTTCTTGCCACTGTTGCTGATGTCACCTCCAAGGGACTGATTTTTGATGTTAACATCAGCCAGTGGAATAGAAGATGAATCTGCCAAAGGAATGAGAGGTGGCAGGAAGGGAAAGTAGGAAGAAAACGAGGCATGTGATGTGTTATAGAAGGCAAGAGGAAAACAGAGTAGTTATCAGCTATCATGAGGTCAGGTAACTTGAAAAGTGTTCAGTGAACATAGGTACAAGGAGCTCATGTGAGGCCTTGGCTATTTTTCAATGGGGTGATATTGGTATTTGAGGACAATTCTTAAATGTGAGGGGCTGACCTACACACACCAGAATGTTACCTGTCCTTGACCTCCAATAGCTAACCCCCAGATGGACCTCTCACCTTCAGGCCAGTCAAAAGTATTATACTAGTGAGAACCAAAAACTATTGCTTGTTTTCAAATGCTCCCTGCAGGGTGGGCACTACCTCCCGATATACTGCTTTAAGAAAATCTATTTTGGTGGTTATAGGGGCTGATGTCAGTCAATGGTGACCTGAAGTAGTAATGAGGGATAAAACCAGTGAGAAGCCAGAGATATCTTACTAGAAGTTTGGCTAAAGTAAGGAAAGCGACAAAGAGGTAATTAGGGGAACTGGGGCTTTGTTTTTGGACACAGGGTTCAGATGTTTAAAAACGGATGGTCCAAAATAAAGGCAGACTTTGAAAAAGGGATAACTGGTACTATTTCAAGTAACTGAAGGGTGGAAGGAAATTGAGGAAACTGGTCTTAGAAGACTTAGCTCCCGTTTTGAAACTGACCTTAGGACACTGCAGTAGCAGCCTAATGAGTCTCCACTTCCTTCTTTGCCATATACATTATTCTCCACATAGCCAGTGTCACTTCTCCTTGTACCTCTCCAATGCCCTCTCATTGCATGTAGAATAAGTCAATTAAAAAAAGTTTTATTTATTTATGCATACAAGCTGAGGTGTAGGCCAGAAGGGTTGGGGAGGGGGGAGGTGGGGAGGGTGGTGTGATTTAACAGAGACAGACTGGGGAGAGAGTGGACTGACTGAACTGCACTACAGAGGAGAGCTGCAGGCACAAGAGATGTCTGCTGGGCCATGTGGGTGAGCTCCCTGGCCAGGGGGTGAATTTGTGCTGCAGTGGCTACAGATTGCACTAGAAGAGAGCAGCAGGCACAAGAGGTCTGCTGTGAGGTATGCTGTGCCATGTGCTCCCTGGCAGGGAGATGAATTTGTGCTGCAGATAGCTTCATAGTGCTTAATTCCTTGTGTCACCAGGGAAGCCCCCAAGAGTCAACCTTTTATACTGGCCTATATAATCCTTCATAAACTGTTCCCTCAATTTCTCTTTTAACCTACTTGGCCTCATGTTCTAATCCCTGCCCTCGGTCTCTACATTCCACCCACACAGCTTTCCTTATTGTTCAGGAACACACCAGGCACACACCTGCTTTAGGACCTTTGCTCTTGCTCCTCTTGATATCCATACAACCTCCTCAATGACAATTTTAAAATAGCATTTCTTAATCTGGGTGCTTCCTATGACCTTTCTCCATAGCACTTTCTAAACTACTTAACATTTATTTTTATTCCTGTCTTTCCCCACTACAATCTAAGTTCCAAGAGGGTAGATTTTGGTTTGTATTGTTTATTGATGTATCTGAAGCACATAGCAGGCGCTCAAAAATGACTGAGTATATAGAAGGGCAAGTTGAATGTAGACAGATCTACATATTTGCAAATGGAAGAAACTTCCATTTGGTGGCTTCAGTTCAGGAAGAAGTGTTACCTATCTCTGAAAGGAAAGGGTAGGTAAGTAAAATAAGGGAGCTAGGTTTGAGGACAGTGAGCGGATTCCTAACATGAAAGGATTTTAATAGCGTGTGGAGAGAAGAAAGGATATATATATATATATATATATATGTTTATTTTTACATCATTTTGTGCCTTTTTCCACCTCAGTTCTAATCCCAGTGGGCTTCCCATCACCAAATCACCCGTTTGCCATCATCAGTCCAGTGCACTCCCCTCCCCCCATTTTTTATCTCATTTCCCACTCCACTAAAATGTCTCTGATATATGGCTGTTCATTATTCCCTGGTCCTTTATGTTCCTGCTATGAGTGAAACCATCTGGTATTTTTCTTTTTCTTTCTGGCATATTTCACTAAGCATGATAGAAAGGATAGTCTTAATAACAATTTCCTAATAAAACTCTCCAAATTACCCACCCCCTAGTGGACAAATCCCAGCTAAACAGGGTCCACCTGAAGCAGAGCCCATGACATGAAAGTGTGCCCCAAGTCTCAGGTACCTTGGGGCAGGGAGCCACAAGATGGTAAAGCAGGTCCTAGAGAGCTGGACAAGAGAAGAGTACAGGTATTCAAAGTGTGCCCAGTACTCCCCCATGAAGTCTGACCATGCGCCATGGTCTGACCAGGAGAGCAGCGGAGGCTCAAGTATCTCACCCCGTGACCCCTCCCCAACAATGCCAGGGTGCAAGTGGAGCTGAAGAAGCAAGGTATTCAGGTCTGCCTGATTTCCAAGTTACAGAGGGCCACGCAGCCCCCCACATTACTGGACTTGTGGTCCATGGCAGCTGTCATGTAAGTGGGGCGTGGGAAAAGTGCCCATTCACTGTGCTCCTACTTTTTGTGGAGATGCCTGTGTTTAATAGTTTTCGACACATTTAATATATACTGTCAATTCACTGACAATGAACTCATCATGACAAGAAGTACTAATGGTAAGCCCATCTAGGGAATGTACATTATCTAGAAAAGTAAAGTAGGTAAAGTACACTATAGCCTTCTGGTGCTTATGAATGCAAGAGAGCATTTTAGCACCATGACTGGTGCAACCTAAAACACCAAAATCACTAATAAAACCACAAGTGTGAAAAATAATAGTTAAAGGCAAAAAGCACATGTGTTTACAAATGAGAACAAAGTGGGACTTTAGCTTCAGCTGGGAACACGTTAGGCAAGTTAAATCCCCTCTGCCTCCATGAATGTTTTGCATACTGATTTTGAGGTTACAAAAAATCTGAATGATTAGGCAAATTTGCAAAGATGGAATCTGAGTTGAGCCTGACCATATATTGCTTGTAACTGATTTGGAATCAGTCCAGTTTGATAGTTTTGATCAAATGGTATAAATACACTTCTGCAGACATTAAATTATCACAAAAGATTAGTAATGCATTTGCTGCCAGTTTTAAAGTTTTTGCATTTTAAAGCTTTCTAATCTATGTCTCCTGCCTTCAATGTATTTGTTACACTAATTAGAAATTGCACAGGAATCTTTCTTCCTTTCCATCACTGTCGGTTTTTTCTTATTGACTGCTTAAGTGGGCACTAAGCAAGCTTGTACTGATCCTCACAAACAGCAATACTCTTAACATATGGCAGGTGGATCTGATAAATGAGTGGTAGTAAACATTTGTTTTCCATTAGGTTGTGATTTCAAGGTCTTTACCCCACATCATTCCATCTCTTTAAATAACTTGTTGGATACCAAATATATCAGTTATTTTTTAATAGTTCTCGTGACGGATGGTGCTTCTGTGGTTTGTTTGCTGGTCTGCCTTTTCCTCTATGTAAGCAGTTGTATACTCAGTTTGTTTTAATGCCTTGCATTAATGTTTGCCTTCCAGGAGATTAGAGCAGGAAAAAGAAAAAAAAAAATCACCAGCACACCACCATCCAAAAGCAAAGCTTCATTTGCTGGTATCCCTCACTAGGCCAAAGTGGCTATGGCGCCGTAGCGACATTCAGAACGCGTGGGGCCACCTCACTTTCCTGTGGCATCCATGCAGAGCCTCCAAGGGAGCTGTCTATCACCAAAGGGTTGCAGGGGAGAGAGCACAAGCGGACACATGGCCACTACAGAAAAAGGAGCGGGTGGCGAAGGGTGACTGGGGGTGGAAAACATTTCAGAAGGCCGAGACAGATCACAGGTCTATTCAAGTCCCGGGTACCCCGCCATCCGCAACCCCGTCCACTAGGGCACGACCCCGCAGCGCCCGCTCCACTGGAAGGTGCCGCCCGGGCACGGGACGACGGCTTCACACCCTGCAGTCTCCCTCGCAGGGACAGGTCGCTCTCGGGCGCCGGGGGAGAGACTTACAGTCGGCCACCAGGCGCGCTCCGGCACCCCTGCCCGCCGCGGGCTCGCGGCGCTCTCGGCGTCCGGCC